AGGCTTGCGCGAAATCGAACGTGAGCAGAGCAGGGCACTCTGCGGGGTGTAGATGAGCGAGAATGCTCGCCTTCCGCGCTTCTGCGTCCAACATGAGTACATTATTGAAGAAGTTGCGACCTTTGATGAAGCCGTTCTGGCATTTGGCGCCCACGGACGTAGCAACGGGATGAAGGCAGCGGTTGAGAACACCGCATATCACCTTGTTGCATGTGTTTTTGAAGCCTAGTGGGCGGGTCTCGCTAGGGTCACGTCGAACCCCACCGCAATCAGGCTCATCTGGGAGGGCAATTGGGTCCTTGAGAGGTTTCGGAAGGAACGCAGAGAGCAGCGCCGTGAAGTCGCTGCCCATGGAGTGGCCCTGCAAGGGCCAGTTGAGGACCTCTGTCAACACCAAGGGGCCCGCCCCGATGCTCCGCGGAAAGTAGTGAAGCCCATCAGGGCCAGGTGCAGCCCAATTCGCTTGCCCAAGAAATCGCCGAATGTCAGCAACCGCAGGGGGCCTGATACCGGTGAAGTCGGTTGACGTGGTGAATTTGGTCAGATAAGGGGCAGCCTTGGGAGGGATTGGTTTCGTGGTCTCGAAGACTGGGGCCCAGTGGTGCGCGAGGTCTTTGGCGAGGGAGAGCTCTGGAGAGACAACGCGCCCATGAACCGCCTGATCAAGAGCCCGAGAGACCCCAAGACGCGCCAGACGGCCTAGAGTCCCAGCAAAGTCTTCCTGGTCCACCTCCTCCTCCTTCTCAGAGACAATACCTAGCATGAACTTGCGGCGAGCCAGCGGGTTCCAAAGTTGGGCGCGGCGAGCGAGGGCCCGCGCCTGACCGAGGAGACGAGATTTACGATCAGAACCCTGCGCGCGGTCAGCAGCACGAAGCATGTCTCTGTGTCTCCGACTCTGTTCTTGATGTTGTATGTGCGAGTGAAGGTTCATAAAGGCCTCAGGGTCGATGAGGCAGGGAATCCCCGAGGAAATGTCGAGCGCATCTTTCACCCAGGAATGTCGAGCACAAAGGACCAGAGCAAGCTTCAGATCAGCCCGCCACACACACCTCGCAATATACCTCGAAATCATCGCTCGCGACGCGACAGAACGACAATCCGAATGGAGAATCGCATCACGAGTGAGGCGCCCCGCAGCCTGTCTGATTCGGGTATCCACCCGAAGCATGGTCGGCGGGTCGAACGCGAGCGACTCAATATCTGCGGCCTCCTCATACCACCGTACCGTTGTGGCATATAAGGGATCAGAGTAAACCCAGCGTGGCAGAGGGCGCGAGCGAGATGAGGTTGGAGAGCAGCTGGAGCACCACGTGACGATGACGGGAACATGATCAGACAACTGTTGAAGGAAAGCTTCTTGGGGTTCCGAGAGAGTGCTGCGTAATTGACGAGTCTGGCAAAGAATCCAGGATGGGGTGGAAGTGAAGAGCCTGTCGATTTTCACAGCGGACTGCGTGCCCTCATCCCAGTGAGTGGTCAGCTCCGAGCCTAACTCCGTCAGCATGTGGAAGATGGAGCGCCACAGTGCGTCTCCAGGCCTGGCGGCACGCGATGTGGAGCGCCTCCGAGAGGAAGTGGCAGTCGAGCGATCGACGGCACCGTCGGCGATGTTGAAGTCGCCAGTCAGGATGGTGGTGTGCAACTGTGGAGCGCGGTGGGCCAGCGCTGCCTGCCTCGCGATCATTTCCTTGACCCGCAGGATGTCGTCGCGAGACAAGCCCAAATTGTGGACATTCCAATGGAATGTCGTGAACCCCGTGTCACGTTGGACGATCGTCACGCACATCACTCGCCCAGGTACCACAACTTCGTGCGTAATGAGTAATGTGGGAAGATCGGGAACCAAGGTAAGAAGACCACCCGTATGAACAGTTGGGCCAGCAGATATCAACGCATGATGTCGAATGTTGGCCCGCTGCAGAACTTCACGAACAGAGGACTCATCCCCGTGAGTTTCTTGAATGGCGACAACTGCGTCTGGGTGCGCGACTGCACGTGGACGTAGGAGCCGCTTGCTCAGCGTCGCCGGCGAGAAATGAACCAGCGCGGAAGCATTCCACGAGACATACCGCACCTGAGCGGCGTCGAGGAAAGTGCTACCCATACCACTCGACCGTCTTCTCCTGGAAGATGGCCTGCACGATCTGCTGGGTCTTCTCTTTGCTGATTCCGTGGTCGGCAAGCGCGGCTGGATTCCAGGCCACCGAGGGAACCCGAGTGCCTGGATGCGGCACCACTTTGGCGAGGGGTTCCCACCGCGCGAGAAGCCGTCCGCCCTCGCGATCCATGAATGTAGTGAGCCCCGCATCCTTCTGAAGAGAACTGCGGAGCTTCTTGAGCGCCATCTCGGTGGCGATCTCCTTCCTGTTCTTGTCGTTCCCGATGTATAGGGGGACTCGCTTCGCGGGAAGATCCACGAAGAAGTCCCTCCACTTACCTGTGGCAAGTCGGAGACAAGAATGAGCTTGCTTCCGTCTTGACTCCCTCGTCGCAAGCATCGGCCCTTGGAACTCGAGCGTGAACTGCTTGGCGACGGGGTCGCCAGCGACGAGGACTTCTTGTCCCACGGTGAAGTTGGCAGCCTCCAACCACGGAGCGATAGCTTTGATGACTTCTTCGCGGGGAACCTCTTCTGGACACCGCACCACCATGATACTGTAGTCGGGGCAGCGGTCCCACTCAGGGGAGGGTACAGGGCGGTCACGCGGACGCTGTCGTGCCAGATCCAGTTCTTTCTCAAGATGGGCCAAGCGTTGTTCAAGCGCTGAAGTCTGCGTCTCAACTGCGTCGATGCGAGCGCCCTGCTGAGCTGTAGTTTCTCGTAAGCGTGCGACATGAGCCTCGAACTTCTGCTCAAATGCACTGACCAGCGGGGTGGTGGCAGCTGCGAGAGCTGCGGGTAGCTGCTGCTGCATTGATGCCATAGCGGCGGCCGTGAAGTCCGCGATCGTCTTTTCCCGCAACTCTCTGAGGGCATCTCCCATAGATGACACTGCCCAAGGATCAGGTTGTCCCGCTTGAGGTGGCCCAGAGCACGGCGGTGGTGTCGCCACGTAGCCAGAGACATGTGATGCGGATGAAGCTGAGGCCGTCCAGGGAGCAGGCCATGGCATCGGCGGGCCAGGTGGGCTACCCGATGGCGTCGAGGTGCCCTCGTCCTTCCCACACATGGGGGTCGGGTCTCCGACGCGAGCTGCTCCTTCTTGGCTGGGAAAGGTCGGCGCCATCTCCAGCGCCTCGAGATCATATACTGTGGGACGGGCATCGTCGTGTCGACCAAGACTGCGTGATCTCTGATCGGGGCGGCCCCGGTCACGAGCACGCTCCCGAGGACGCTCATCAGAGACATGATGGTGACGAGGAGAGCGACGTTCAGATGTGGAGCGCGACGCGGGCGATGAGGAGACGTCCCGCCTGGAGCGTCGGCTTGGGGTGTCAGCATCCTTCTTCCCTTTCTTCTTGGACTTGTCCTTGGCCATGAACTCGTTGGACGAATGATGATGACGAAGAAGCTCGGCAGCACGGCCGAGGCGAACCAGCACGCGAGCCGCGGCCCTGGCGCGGCGGGCACGTCGGTGCCAGGCAGGAGAGTGACCTCGCCGCGCCGTACCGCCCGCGCCGCCCGCTGGGGGCCGCGGGCCGCGCGGCCGCGCCTAGCCCGCCGCCCGCCCGCGCGCGCCGCTCCCGCGGCGCACGGGCTCGGGCAGCAGGCTAGGAGGAGGAGGAGGAGGAGGAGGAGGAGGAGGAGGAGGAGGAGGAGGAGGAGGAGGAGGAGGAGGAGGAGGAGGAGGAGGAGGAGGAGGAGGAGGAGGAGGAGGGGGAAGGGGAGGTGGAGGAGGCGGAGGAGGAACGACCTCCAGGGACCTCACGAGATCTCCGGGATGGGAGCGGGAGGGGCTGGATGCCACCGCCCTCCGCTCATTCTCCTCTCGCCGACAAGCACACGCCCCTTCTTCTACGTGCGTGCAGAAACCTCCGATCAGCCGCAGGTCGGCTGGCTGGCAGGAGGAGGGCCGGCGAGTCCGCCCACGTCGATGCCTATCGCTTCACAGGGCTCGGCGTCCGAAGGCGGCGGTTCCGCCTTGGTCTCGCGAGGACTCCGACGTTTCAACTTTTTGTTCGAAACCCTATGACTTCACCAGGTTCCTGTCTGGTTTCAGCTTGGTTCCGCGATGGCTCCGACGCTGCAAGTACACGAAACCTTCAGACTTTTCGGGGTTCCTGCTTGGTTCCAGCTTGGTTCACCGATGGCTCCGACGCTGCAAGTCCACGAAACCTTGCTTTCAAAAAGTTCCTGCTTGGTTCCAGCTGGTTCCGCGATGGTTCCGACGTTGCAAATCCAGGGAACTCTGTGAAATGGCGCTTTCGTGATTTAAACTTTCGCACCTGTCTGAAGGGGCCGAAACCCGTCAAAACCTAACAACTTTCGAATGATTTCGGCTTTCTCACCTTTGCGCTTCCGATGGGTTGCTGAGGTCTCAAGATGGCTCCGAGATTGCTAAAGCCCGCTCCTAGAGGATCCCGGAAGTGCTGCAAGAGGGCTCTGAAGACTCCAAAGATCGCTACAGGAACACCCCAAGAGGGCTCCAAGGGATCCCAAGAGAAACCCATGAGAAGGAATTCGTGGGTGGCAGGCCCCGAGATGGCAGCAACACAACCCCAAGATAACCCAATCTAGTCCCGTAGACAGTCCCTCAAAGACGCTCCCGGGAGACCCCAGGAGGCCCGAAGAAACCTGCCAGAGATGGCGGCGATTGGGAAGTTGTTGAGTGTTGGCAGTTTCCCCAACCAGTCGCGCGAAGCTCGGGTGGGGGTGAAGCATCCGCAGATTGGGGGCAACAGAGGATTACCGAAGCTCGAAGACACGGGAAGGCGATGATCATGGCGCTGATATTATGCTGAGCCTCTTCGTAGGCTGTCGGAGCATCTCAGGATTCGCAGACAACAGCGGTGTTACAATATGGACCAGCGGAATGCGCCAAGCGGTTGAATAAAGCGCTCTGGTGACAGCCAGCGCGCTGCAGCGAACGCATGCAAACGCCGCTCAACCTTTGGCCGAATCAAAACGCGGTATCCCAGGGTGGCACGGGGTATGCCTCGACTGTGGGGGACCAGGGTCTACACAGACTTGCCTCACGCTCCTCGGCCTGGCCCCCGCGCGACCCCCCACGAACCTGGCCCAGCCCTTTGGTCAATCTAGACCTCCTGCCGGGAAACGCGCAACTTCTCCCGCACAAAATTCTGCCGCGACCGCAGGCTTCCCCATTCACTGCCGGCGACTGCTTCGGGCGCGTCTTTGCCGTACAGCTGCGACCTCAGCGTCCGCAGCTGCCTGGCCTCCAGCTGCGGGTCCGCGCCGCCCCCGATGCGCGCGACTTCCAGCGGGTGGCGCTCCACGCACGGCCTCAGGAACTCGTCGAGGGCATGATTTTTGTAGGTGAGGATCAGGATGCGGTTGCTCGGCGCCAGCAGCTCCACTATGCACTGACCCACGAACGTCTTCCCCGTCCCGGGCGGCCCCTGGATGACCGCGACGCGGTTCTGGAGGGCATGCAACACCGCCTTGGCCTGGCTGGGGTCCAGCACCGGGGCGCCACCTGCCTCGGCCTGGCAGGCTGTCTGCGACTCGGCGGCAGCGCCTCTGAACCAGCCTCAACGGCACCTTATGCCATCTCCGAGGTCGGCAGGCCTAGGCGCGCGCCAGCAAAAGCTTCTGGAGCCCCCAAGCCGTTGCCGATCGCGGGGGCAGGGATGGCATTGAGGCTGGCAGCCTGTGGCATTGTGGTCGGTCCTCTCAGCTGCCTCGGGCCTCGCACCATCCCCAACGGCCTCGGCCTGCCCATGCTGTCTCAGCGCAGCCATGGCGCCCGCCAGGCACCGCGTCCGATCCACAACCGCGTACCTCAGCTCATCTGTGCCGCGCCCCCCAGACTTCGCCAGGAGATGATCGCCCAACCTCGCAGTGCCGCATCCGCCGGGCGGGATGCCCCCGACGCCGAGAACTCATCACGCTCAGCCCCTTTGGAGCCTGTGCTCAGGACCTCTGGAGGCGGCGGACAATGAGAGCTAAATGATGGCATAAACATAGCAACTCGGAGGTCGGCACAAATGTCTTGGATCGGCGGAGCGCGCCAAGGGCGGCGCCAGATGCGCCGTCAAGGGACCCAAACGCTGATCTGAGGAATCCGCGCGGACCTCCAATGTGTTACGCTTGTGCCATCGTTCCCCAAACGGTGCTTGCACATAGGGGTTTTTACTTCTGTTCTAAGGAATAGGGCTGGTGTGCCGATCTGGCGACTATGTAGTCGCCGTCGCCGCCCTGTCGCCGCCCGTCGTCTGGGCTGGTGTGCCGCTCTGGCGACTATGTAGTCACCGTCGCCGCCCCGTCGCCACCTCGTCGCTCCCCGTCGTCTGGGCTGGTGTGCTGCTCTGGCGGCTATGCGTCGTCGCCGTCGCCGCCCCGTCGCCACCTCGCATATATTTTCTTTTCCAAATAACTATTCAGACCCCCCCCTCTGGGGTTAACAATACACCTTTTCGTACTGCATTTTACATACCAGTTTTGCCCCATCGTCCATCCTAAATATGAATTCGTGCCATCCCAGCCAGGCGGGCGTTCGCACCCCCCTCATCTCCTGCCAACAAATACTATGCGCGCACACTCGTTTGTCAACAATCATCAATTTTCAAGAATCCCTGGCAAAAAAAACGGGACGAAGTGCACACGCGCGCGTCGTCGCGCGCATGCCGAAATCTTACCAAAAACCTGACATTTCGTAAGGCTTTCAGAATCAGGTGTCACGTAAACATATAAAACACCTGGTTTCGCAACACGATTTTCCAATAAAAAATTGCGCTCTCGCGCTCTTGCGATTCTCTCTCTCTCTCTCTCTCTCTCTCTCTTTCTCTCTTATATATATACACATTTGTATACATAAAACACATCGGTTTCAACATTTTCATAACATGTTTCCAAATTTGCCTCTCGCGCACGTGCTGTCGTAAGAATCCCTTGCCAAAGAGGGGACGAAATGCGCACGCGCGCGTCGTCGCGCGCGCATGCCGGAATCCGGCGAAAACCTCAATTTTCTTAAGGATTTCAAAAGCGAGTGCCCTGAGAACATACCAAACACATGGTTTCGCAACTGGGCGCTTGCGCTAGCGCTCTCGCGAATTCTTAACACACCCATGCGTTTTTCACCAATTTCGTTATATTCGGCCAAGCAGGCCTTTCGCGCCGCATGTTGACATCATTCGAACGCCCTTGCGCGCGTGCTGGGGGGCACGATCCGCGTCAAATGATACCATTCGGGCCCCTCTCGCGCGTCGGCCGCGCGCGCATGTCGAACTCCGTCCGGAAACTTCATCACCGACGCGAAGACATCGTCATCGTCGTCGGCGTGGTCATCATAAACGCCGTCGATGGCCGTGCCGTCGCCGTTGTCATCATCGTCACTACTTTCATCATCGTGTCTACCGTTGGCGACGTTGCCATGATGGCGCGCCCGCCCAAGTGGCCGACTCGCACTGACGTGCCCGCGGGGAAGTGCCCAACGGTCAGCTCCACCGCGGCCGCGTCGATCGCGCCACGCTAGCTGGCCGCTGCGCACGCGAGCGCGCGCGGCCGCAGAGATGCACCAGCCAACACCAAGCACTCATCGCAATCGCCGCATGGGGTGTGGAAGCCAACTTGGGGGTGGGTGGGTGGCACGATTGCGCGAACAGTGGAGTTGACACCTGCGAGTTCCACAAGTGAAGTGCACCGCATATTCTCTTTTCTAAAATAATATTCGGATCTGCCTCCCCCCCCGTCGGGGCTTAGCGCCTTACTTTTTCGCAATGCGAAGTGCGTGTGATTTTGCCCCTGCCGTCCATCCTAAATTCAAATTACCGCCATAGTCCCTTATCGGTCCCGCCCGCTCACCCTTTGCAGAAAACTATGCGCGCGCATTCGTTTGTCAAAAACAAGCAGCTTCCCAACATCCTTTGCGAATATCTTGAATAAGTGCACACGCGCGCGTTGTCGCGGGCGCATGCTGACCCGTCAAAAACCGCAGGCTTCGTGAGGTTTTCAAAACCAAATGCCCCGACGGCAATGGAAACACATGGGTTCGCATCTGAATTTTGTTCTTAAGTCTGCGCTCGCGCTTTTGCAACTTCTTACAAACCCGCTATGTGTTTTTGCTTAACCGTTGTCATCAAATTCTACCAAACGTGCTTTCGGCGCGCGCGCGTGTCAAAATGGTTCGAACGCCCTTGCGCGCGTGCTGTGGCAAGACTGCCGTGCAACAGACATGGGTGAAGTGCGCGCGCCCGCGTCTCGTCGCGCGCGCGTGCCGCAAGGCTGGAACACCTCAAATTCCAAACAAATTTCAAACTCGAGTGTCCGGGAAACATATAAACCGACGATTTCGCAATCTCAGATTTCAATTTAAATGCTGCGCGCGCGCCCTTGCATCTTTTAAAGCAAGAGTTGCCTCTCCAAACATTATCAAACTCGACCAAACGGGCCTCTCTCGCCGCGAGTCGATATCAGTCGAACGCCCTTGCACGCGAGCTGGCGGTGGTGGTGATGGTGGTGATGGTGGTGGTGGTGATGGTGGTGGTGGTGGTGGTGGTGTGTGTGTGTGAGTGTGTGTGTGTGTGTGTGTGCGTGCGTGCGTGCGTGTGTGTTTGTGTGTTTGTGTGTGTGTGTGCTTTCGTGTGTGTGTGTGCGTGTGTGTGTGTGTGTGTGTGTAGGGGGGCGCGGCCCCTGTCAAATGACGCCATGCGAGCCACTCGCGCCCGTCGCCGCGGGCGCATGTTGAACTCCATTCAAAACCTTCTTCACCGACGCTTGGGCGCCATCATCGTCATCGGCGTGATCGACGTCGGCGCCGTCGTGGGCCTTGCCATCGTCATCGCCATCATCGTCGCCGTCGTCGCTACGACCATCATCGTCGTTTCTACCGTTGTCGACGTCGCCATTCTACTGCGCCCGCCCGGGCCGCCGACTCGCGCTGAAGTGCCCGCTGGGAAGTGCCCAGCGGTCAGCGCCACCGCGGCCGCGTCGGCCGCGCCAAACAAGCTGGCCGCTGCGCGCGCGAGCATGCGCGGGGCAGCGCGGCCGCAGATATGCACCAGCTAACGCCGAACACTCATCGCAATCTCCGCCTGGGTTTCGCAGACCAAGTTGCGGGTGGGCGGGTGGGGTGATTGCTTGAGCAGTGGAGTTGGTAACTCTAAGTTTTCCCAGATGAATTGCACCACGTAGCTTCTTCTCCTGTCAAACTAATGCTAGGATCTACCTCCCCCCCTCCCCGGGACTTCGCGGGCCGCCGGTGTGCGTGGCAGTTTATATGTTTTTTCGCCCCATCGTGCGACCAAGAATGAATCATACCATCCCAGGCAGTCCCTTATCCCCCTCATCCTTGTTAAAAAATATGCGCGCGCCCGTTTCTCCCGAACCGCGAGTTTCCAAAGCCGACTGGCAACTGGAAGAATTAGACGAAGCGCGCGCGTGTCGTCGCGCACGCGGTCCAAAATTTTTTAGACCACCAAAGGTTTTGCGCGGATTTCAAAATCGAGTGCCCCGAAAACAACAAAACAATGGTTTCGCAACGGGTTTGTGCATAATAGAAAGGGACGCGGTCGCGCCCTTGCGAATTTTGCAGAAAACCAGCGGATGTCCAACATGTCCATCAAAATCTACCAAACATGTCTCTCGCGCGAGCATGTCGAAATCATGCGGGCGCCCTTGCGCGCGTGCTGTCGCAAGAGCCCCTTGCAAAACGTAGGGCAAAGTGCGCGCGCGCGTCGTCGCGCGCGCGCGTGCCGAACTCCTGCAACAACCTTGGGCTTCGCGCTGATTTCAAAATCGGTTTCCAGAAATAGACGTTACACTTGCGAAGGCTGGGAAAAAGCCGCGGGCTTCATGGCTGTTCATCAAATTCGACCAAGCGGGCCTCTCGCGCCGCGCGTCGAAATCATTCGAGCGCCCTCGCGCGCTGGGGGGGGAGATCTCTGTCAAATGAAACCATGTGGGCAGCTCGCGCGTCGGCCGCGCGCGCGCGTCGAACTCCCTCCAAAACCTTCGTCACCGACGCGAGGGCTCCGTCATCGTCGTCGGCGCGATCAGCATTGGCGCCGTCGCTGGCCTTGCCGTCGTCGTTGTCATCATCGTCGCCAGCATCGCCACCGTCGTCATCGCGTCTACACTTGTCCACGTTGCCCAAATACTCGCACTGGAGTGCCCGCTGGGAGGTGCCCGGCGGTCAGCGCCGCCGCGGCCGCGTCGGTGGCGCCAAAATACCTGGCCGCTGTGCGCGCGAGCCTGCGCGAGCAAGCGCGGCCATGGGGGTGCGCCGGCCAACTCCAAGCACTCCTCGCAATCGCCGCCGCGTGGGTTTCGCAGGCCAAGGTGCAAGCGGGTGGGCGGGGTGAATTGCGCGCGCAGTGGCGTAAATAACTCACTGCGAAGAAGAATTAGTTATCCTGTCTAGAAAAGAACTCGATCCCCCCCATCCCCACCCGGACCGATCGGTTGTTGGTTTCGCTTGTGACTTCATATATGATCCGGGCTCTTCGTCCATCCTGCGTATTAATTCGTGCCGTCGCAGCCGGGCCGGCGTCGACCCCCCCGCCATCCTCTGCGGGAAATATTATGCGCGCGCTCTCGTTCTTCAGGAACCAGCAGTTTTCAAAAATCCAATGACAAAAACACAAAGTGCAAGCGCGCGCTTCGTCGTGCGTGCATGCCGGGAGCCGTGAACAAAACCATCGTTTTCGCAAGGATTTCGAATCGAGTATCGCGAAGACATATGAACGCACGTGGCTTTGTAACGAGAGCTCGCAGGAAAAGTTTGCGCCCGCGCTCTCGCGGATTCTTAAGAACGCCATAGGTCTTTCAACATGTTCATGCAATTCTTTCGAATTAGCCTCTCGCGCGCGCGTCGAAATCATTCGAGCGCCCCTGCGCGCGCGCTGTCGCGAGAATCCCTTGCGAGAAATGGGGCGAAGTGCG